CTAAATCACTCTGGGTAAATAAGCAAAGGAAAACCTCCCCAGGGCCCCAGGCAGAGCTTTGCCAACGATTCAAAGGTCAGCAAAGTCATAAATCAACTGCCTTTGCACCAAACAGATCGTGGAGAGTTATTTTGAAAATGACTTGGCCAAAAAATTCCCTGGAGCTGAATCAAGTCAAAGAGCTCAAACAGGGAAATGTCCATCACCCTCCTCCTCTCCCAGGAGAGGGGGCTGCGAGGCCCCAGGGCCAAGTGTCCACGGCAAGGGCCGCCGGCTTGCACTTGTGATATCCTGATCCCTAATGGAGGACCCAGCATGGCGTTCATGGCCTTGGGGGCCGCAGGGGCACAGGTCTTCCCTGGAACAGCCGCTGCAGCTGGCAGGAGCATGGCTCCCCAGGGTCCTCCACCCCTCCCAGGAGCCCAGGCCTGCACAGAACTTTCTAGCAGCGGAGCCAGGTGCACTGCTCATCTGGGCTGCACACTCAGGGTCAGGACTGAGATCCGGGGCTACCTGGCCGGTGAGGACTTTCTTTCTATGAAATATACATGCATGTATATAGGGGGAAAATTCTGGAAGGATCCACATTAATGCTATCAGCAACAAGATGCCTGAATTTTATGGATAATGCCTGTATATTTTATTTTTTGTTAAATACAGCATTGCTTAGCAAAGTTTTTCTTTTTATGTTACCAAAGTTATCAACTAGAGAGATTTAGAAAAATAGAGATCAAAAGGGAGAGAGGGTCTCCAGTAATCAAAATCCTCTCACCCAGATAGATTCTGGTGACCCTTTAGTGAGTTTCCTTCAGTTCTTGTCTAAAATATAATGTGCATCTTTTAACAACAAAGAAATTATATGTTACATTCTTTTTTGTAACCCACTTTTCTACTTCACAATATAAACTCAACACTTTCTATGTCATTAACATCCTTCTATAATATCATTTGAACAGCTTATGGCGTTCCGTTAAATAGATGTACCATGCCTCGTTTAAGACATTCCATCCTCTGGGGTTTTCAGTTGATAAATATTTCTTTCTAGGCCACCACAGGCAAATCGTCCCGAGTGCTGTTCTCCAAATGTCTACCACATGCAGACGCAGTAGGATGGCACTTTCTTGTCTCTAGGAAGTGTTGCCATGTGACTTGTTGGGGCCAATGAAATAGGAGCAGCCATGACATCTGGGCAGAAGGTCCAGGGGCCAGTGCACATTTCAGAACATTCTCTTTCCATGACTGCACTTGCTGTGAGACTGGAGGCAGAGCCCCGGCCAACCTGCGATGGGCACACGGCACAAGCCAATAACCACCTTTTCGCTCTGAAGCACCGGAATTCAGGGCTGTGTTGTTTCTGTCATGTAGCCTCACTTGTCCTGCCTGGCCAGCCTCCGGAGACACAAGGAGAGACATGCAGAGACAGGCCTAAGACAGACCCCAACCCTCAACGTCTGTGTGGCCCGGTGGAGAAGTGCAGCCTAACCACAAAGGCAGAGCTCAGTAAGGAACAACGAATGGTCATTCACATCCAACCCTTGCAAGGTGCCGCGGAGCATGGTGACATCGCGCCCCTGAAGGGACGTCTCCAAAGCTGCCTGAGCAGAGAGGTTCACGGCGCTGGAATGGCCCGGGCAGCCTTCACGGAGGAAGGGCTGAGGGGAGGTTGACGGGGGTAAGAGAGGGAGGAGGTGTGAGAGCAAAGGTCAGGCAAAGCCGGGGAGGCTGCTGAGGAGGGGGTTTGTGTGAAGCGGGAGCTCTGAAGAAGTGAGAGTTGGGACAGCCTGGGAGAGAGCAGGGGCCGGAGGGGCCAGCTTCACCCCTGCAGGGAGAAGAGCCTCGCCCTCCTCCGGTGTGTCCCCGCTGCGTCTGTGGGGAGAATGCTTCTGGGACTGCCTCCCCCAGGAATGGCCTCAGTGAAGCCTGACTTTGGAGGCTGGACATGGCTTGGCACAGTGACACGTACACTATATTCAGGGTAAGTTTGACTGTAGACAAAGTCAAAGCTGTTGTGCTCTGCCAATCCTATTTGAGTAACCGTTCCCAACAGCTGCACACGCTGACCACACTTCAGCCTCCTCAGTGTCAACCAGAGTCAATGGCAGTTGGTCAGTCAGAGTCAGTATCAGTCGGTCAGTCAGTGTTAGTCTCAGTGTGTGTCAGTCAGTCGGTGTCAATCAGCCAGGGTCAGTCAGCCAGCATCAATGTCAGTCAGTGTTGCCAGCCAGCCAGTCCTTCAACTGGCCATTATCAATGCCAACTGGCAGTAGTGAGTGTCCGCCAGTTGGTCAGTCGGACACTGTCAATGAATCAGGGTCAGTCGGTCTGTCGGTGTCAGCCAGCCAGAGTCAGTTAGTGTCAATCAGCCAGCATCAGTCATTGCCAGTCAGGCAGTGCCAGCCGGCCAGCAGGTAATAAACACAGTGTTTGGCTGGCTTCTGCACACTGGGCCCATTTGCCCTGCCGTCCGTTCACCCAGCCCCTTCCCTGTCCTGGACATTGGGATAGGAGTGTCATTCCTGCATGCGGACAGAGAGCTGTTCCTGGGAACTCAGGACAAAATCACTACTGAGCAGGGCCAGGCCCCTGCCCCTCATTTTCATTACTCAGTGGGGCTGAGCTGCAGTAATTCGGGAGCTTCCAGAGCTCTAGAGCTGCGGTCCCCAACCCCCAGGGCCGGTCTGTGGCCTGTTGGGAACCAGGCTGCACAGCAGGAGGTGAGTGGCGGGCAAGTGAGCAAAGCTTCGTCTGTATTTACGTCACTCACATCCCTGCCTGAGCTCCACCTCCTGTCAGATCAGCACAAACCCTCCTGTGAACTGCCCACTCGGGGGATCTAGGTTGCACGCTCCTTATGAGATGGTCCCTGGAAAAATTGTCTTCCATGAAACCAGTCCTTGGTACCAAAAGGGTTGGGGACCACTGATCTAGAGGGCATCCATTCAGAAGTGAGTCAAAGAGAACCAGGTCACCTTTTCACTCTAAGAGCCTCTTCCTCCCCCACAGGGGCTTTTAATGGTGTTCCGCCAAAGTGCACGCCTGGCCACAATCCTGGCACTAGCAGGACAGACAAGATGGCACCACAAGCTCTGCACAGCAGCCCCCACCTTCCTCCCACAGGAGGCCGTGCTGTCTGGGGGTGAGCAGACACAGGGTTTTCCCAACCGCTCTTCTCTCAGATAGGGCCAGAGTTGAGGGTGGAGGAGGCTGGGGCCATCCTGGGTCCCGGCTCAGTCCCCAGGCTTGAACACTGCTGTGGCCGTGTGTTTCCTCTGCCTGAACAGTGTCCCCTGTTCTTGGAGGACCTGCTCATCTCCCTCCCCCACAATCCCCTCCAGTCATGTGGGTTTGGGTAGGAGGTGACAATCACAGTGTATGTCCTCATCCTAGCCTGAAGTGGGCTGAGACTCAGGCTGGATCAACTGTGGTACTTCCTTATCCCATAGTGGTTGGCCCAGGGATGGGCACATGACTCAAGCCAGGCCAATCAGGATCCTTCCCTGGATTTTTCTGAGACTGCCTCTTGAGTCCTTAGCTGGAAGGATATGTGCTTGAGTCAGCAGGCAGAATGGCTTTCATTGTGTAGGAAAAACCTTAGAAGGAGAGAGTGAACAGAAGGAAACAGGTGCAGAAGGAGACAGACAAGAGAGTCTTGACAGGGTTTCAAGCCTCTAATTCCAATCAACCCTACAGCTGCCTCCACCCCTGGCCTCCTACCATTTACTTTTGTGGACTACACTTATAGCCAAAGAACCTCACCTATAGAAACTAGCCTAATAGAACCTCACCTAATAGAAAGTGTAGAGCTACTATAACCAACATCTTGTTTGGAAGCGAAGATCCAGGCAAGCCCCTCAACTGCCCCCCCCACCCTGTTAGCTCCTTGCATCAGAGAGGCAGGGAGAGCCCAGGGAGGCCCACCCAGTCCTCCGGTGGCTACAGGGGGCACACCCCCAGGCAGAAGCCCGTAGCCAGCTCCTGCCCCGGATGCAAATGGCCTTTTCTAGCTATACAGTGTGTGTCTTGGGTTGTTGACTTCTTTCATGCAACATCTTGTCATGAACACACTCTAGCTATTGAGAATGTTCTCTTGCTTGTCTTTTTGGTGACTCCATGCAGGGCTCGCTTCCCGGGTGTGTGGCCTGTGCCATTACACAGGGCCCTGCCCTTAGGAGGACCCCATGCTTGGTTTTGTGCTCTGCTGTCACCATCTTGAAATTCTTAAACATTTTGAACAGGGGGTCCTGCATTTTGATTTTGCATATGTCCCCACCAATTATGTAGCCGCTCCCTGCTTTCCCTCATGGTGGGTGGGGCCTGTGATTCCAATGACTCGCTCCCGTTCCCAGAACCCCTTTCCCACCACACACGCGCTCCTCGATGGTCTTCTCCCCACCCTAGCCCCTTAAGTGGACTTTTCTCCCAGATGCAGGCAGCCTCTGTGGCCTCATCCAGGCTGTACCCACAGCTGAGTGCTATGTCAAACCAAAGCTGGGTTCATTTTATTTGGAACGGGGCCACATGACTGGGTCCCTTGTGTCTGCCCCTCGACGCTGACATTCTGCAGTTCTGCCTCAAGCCACCATCGGAGGCCTCTGGGAAAGCTGCCCCAGGGCCCACCCAGGGCAGCGCTGGGCTCCTTTGGTCTGAGCAGGCGGGAGCTGGGCTGCAGGTTTAAACAAGCAGAGCTGCTTTTATGAGATGGCTTCATAGTTCCGTAATCGGGATTTTAGAAGTCCAGGAGACAGGCCAGCAGCCTGTGCCCACGGAAACCACCTGCTGAACACCCAGCAAAGATAAGCCCTTGCCATGGGCCTCCTGCTTCTCCTGGGAAAGGTGGGCTCTAGCCCCTCCCCTCCCCCCAGGGAACACCGAACTGCAGCTGCCCAGACCGGCTGCAGCCTCCGTCTTCATGCCACCACATGCAATGTGACAAGCCAATCTACAGGGGACAGCCCGTAGGAGAAACTGATATACAATTTGACAATAAAGAGTCCAGGTGTGGTAAAAAGTGATTTATTTTTGGAGCACAGTAACAGCTATGCAACTAGGAACATTCATTTACCTGTCCCTTTCCATGGTTTTGTGTCACAAAGACATACTAAGACTTTGGAAAAATTCCAAAGGGGATAACACTTGAAATATGCTGTTTCTTTACTTTTTTCTTTTGTACTTAATCACAGTGAACCAAATAAAATAGCTTTACAGCTTACTAAAACTCAAACTTGTCCTCAGAGGAAGCAGTTTAAACATTTACAACTGTAAATCAGCTACGCAATGATTCCACATAAGGAGAAAAACCGGAGAGCAAAAAGCAGCTCTAACAGAAAGCGTGTCTTGTCAAAAGGAAAATAAAATACACATCAATTTATCTAGAAAGAGCGGGCCCTCTGGAGGACTGAGGTCCCAAACTAAGGTAAAATTGTGGGTGCAGTGTCCTCTTTGGAAAAAAAAAAAGGAGAGGAACAGCTCTGGCTCAAACTATGCTAAGAATCTGGTTTAAAAAGATGAAAGGAGTCAGGGGAAGACTGACATGGTGCTCTCCCACGGGCGGCATTTCCCATGAATGAAAGCTGGGAACACATTCTCCCTGCGGTGCCCCTAGACTGTGCTAAAAATAACCGGCACAATGTTTCCCTCCGCACTTGCTGGCGCTGGCCTTCCCCTGGGAGGTGCCTCACACTCTCCCTAAAAGGAGCTACCAAGTCCCCTAAGGAACAAGTGAGCCACAAACCAGCGGGCTGGATGCTGCCTGGAGATGCCGGCGCCTTCTGAGGACGCGGGGACCACGTGGCATCACTGCCCCGCTTGGCCATTACAAATGGGGGGCCCCTTCTCCCCGGAACTCAAAGCACTGGCTGGCTGGAAGAAACGGCACCGGAAAGGTGGCAATCAACTTCCAAGACTGAGCTCACCTGAGCTCTCTGCTGACCCACCCGCGGTTTCCCAGCAAAAATCCTGACACCTGCCCCAGTGTAGCCTGAGGAAGGGCTTAGAAAGCTCCCAGTGAAGGGCCTGTTCTGGAAACTGCTGTGATGAATGGCTGGAAAAACAGAGAGGCTTGACCCTGAGCCAAGCAGTATGTATGTGTCTATGGGGTGTGTGTGTGTGTACATGTGTGAGAGAGTGCCCTGTGTGTGCGTGTGATATTTGTGTGGTGTGGGGTGTGTGTGCGTGAAGGGGGTGAAGACCCCCCAAGCAGGCCTTCAGGACAAAGTGCCCTGCCCCTCACCCCCAGCGAGGCACGGCCGCACAATTTCAGAGCAATAGTCCAGGCTGGGCTCCCCTGGTGGGTGAGGTTAGCAGTAGCTAACATGGAGACTTCCAGATATCCAACTTCCCCTGGCCACCTGACCACATATTTCAAACATTATTTGATGTAATGAAATTCAAGACCACTTACCAGCCTTTGTCAAACTTTTGACCACAACCCACATTAAGATCACACGGCTACCAAAAATGTGGGACTCAGGGCTAGGTGACAAGAGTTCACACTCAGCCTGATTGTACAGGGTCTGCTCTGAGATTTCCTAGCCCATTGTATTTGTGGAAGTGACCCACCAAATTGATTTCGTGGCCCATTTGTGGATTCCACTTGCAGCTTGACACAGTCACAGGCCGTTCAGGACAAACCCTTGGAGCTGCAGTGGGACCTGTCTTCCCCCACACCAGAAATACTCCCTCCACGGAAGTGGGTGGACCTCCCCGCAGCAGGCCCAGGCCTCCGTGAAGATCATCAGGTGCCACCAAGGAAGAGGAAGTAGGCTTCCCTGACCATGTTTAAAGAAAAAGGGCAGCCACGCTGGGCTGACTCAGGTCGTGCTGGCAACCGCCCGCCCACGCGCGCGAGTTGCAAGGCAAGACGGAGCCATGCCTTGCAAGGGCGTGGGCCAGTCCCTTAGGGGTTCCCCAGCGGCGCCCCCGCCCTCTGGCATCTCTGCACGAGGAGGAGAATGAGCCGGGCGAGGTCGGAGAGGTCGGGGGACTCGGCCATCACGCGGTCCACCTGCTCCGGCGGGAAGACGCTGCAGAGCGCCGTGCGCGCCCGGGCGCGCGCGTCCCCCTCGCCGTCCTCGGCTGTGTACCCCGAAGGATCCCCAAAGGCGCTGTCGCCCCAGGCCGGCTCCACCGAGGCCGAGCGGCCTGGAAAGCGGTCGGAGCTCTGGGAGCGGACCCACGGGTCGTCGGGCGGCCTGCGCTGCGGAAGCAGGTCGCCGTGCAGGTCCCTGGGACAGTGACCCCCTCGCGGCTGGAGCTGCGGCCCGAGCGGGGGCGGGAGGCCGGGCGGGCCTGATGTGGCCGCGCTGCCCGCCCGCGGGGATGGCGACGGCACGGGCGCCGCGCCGCCGGTGGGCACCCAGCCGGGCCCACACAGCCCGGGCGCCAGGCCGCAGGCGGGGCCGGGAGGGCGCGGCCCGAGGGGCCCCAGGTCGTCGCTGAAGGCCAGCCGCGAGAAGCTCCCTCGCAGGGCGGCCAGGTCGGCGGGCTGCGGCGCGGGCGGGAGGCTGCGTGCACCTGGCTCCCGGGGGCCCGAGCGCGCTCCTGCGGGGCCGCCCCGGGTGCTCGGCAGCCGCTGCTCCTCGGCTCCCGGCCGGGCCCGCGTCTGGGCGCGGAGCTCGTCGGCCACTGCCAGCTGCGTGTGGCGCGGCCTCTCCGGGTGGTAGAACTTGCACTTGATGCCGTAGGTGCACTTCTTGCCTGGAAGGGGCCGGGGCAGAAGAGGGCGCTGCGTGAGACCCGGGCGGGCGCGGAGAGGCTGTGCTGCCTGGTGCGTCGGGGCAGCGCCGCCCGCGGCCTCTCCGTGGACTTTCCTCCCGCAAGGGCCCAGGGAGACGCGCGCGGGCGGGCGGCGGGCGGCATGGGCGAGGGCGCGCTGGGCGCACTGACTAACCCCAGGGTGGGCAGAGTGAGTGTCGGTCCGGGAACTCCCTTTGACCAGGGGCCAGAATCAAATCTCCTGATCTGATGGCCTTCTCCACTTCCCCAGGGCCCCTGTGGATAGGGCCACTCTTGGGGAGGGGCGGCGGTGGGGAGTGGGTGCTCATCGCCTAGCATCGTGCCCCTAGTGCTGCCTCAGTTTCCCCCACTGCCCACTCCCCCTTGCTAACCATTGCTCTCTCCCTGCCGACTGTTCTGGCAGAGCCGTGATCAAATGATCAAGTTACCATCCAAACCCGGGCACTTCTGAGAGCCAACCGGTACGAGATGGACCAACCTGAATGTATGTGTGGTCACCTTAACTCTAACAAGAAATGACTCTGAATGTCACCCAAGGCTTTAATGAACTTCTGTGAGCATCAAAACCAAAGCCTGGGGACATCAAATAACTTGCCGAGTCAGTGAACAAGCTGGCTAGCAGGCTGGCATCCCTGAGGGCTCTGGGACAAAATCCTTAACTCTTCATGGGTAGCACTGACCAAAGTCCATTGAGGGGGCACAGTGGGGCAGGGTGAGGACAGGAGTGCTGGGGGCCAGGGGAAGGGACTGAGAACGGGGGCTGGGGATGCACACAGCCCCCTAGTTCTCCGACACGGCTTTGCCCTGAGCAGGACCCCGGCCCGGGGCCTGGCAAACACCCCTCTGCAGCAGCCATCCTGGATGTCAGTTCATCCTTCCAATAACCCTGTCAGGAAACAGCAGTGCAGAGAGGTTAAGTTACCTCTCCAGTGTCACACAGCTGGTTCGGGGCAGAAGTTGGAAGAGAACCCAGGCTGCTGACCACCAGGCCAGCACTTTTGACTGTGCCCCTGTGCCCTGCACAAGGCCCTGAACAGGGCTCAGGAAGCACTGGGTAGTAGGTACCCACCGTAGGGGCAGTGCTGCCAGGATGGCTCTGGGGGCTTTGGCTTCCGGCTCAGGAAATTGCTCAGGGTGGGTCCATGTCGGCCCAGAGGGTCATCGGGAGGCATGAACCTGGAAGATAAGCACAGGGGGCAACTGCAAGACCAAGGGGACTCACTGCTGGCACCTGGAGGGAGGCAGCAGGCCCCAGCCACCCAGGGAGCACCAGGCAGGCAAAACCCTCCCCTCACACCACACTTCCCATGGGGGGCTGCACGGCACAGCCCTGGGCTCCTCCTCCTGCCTGGCTCGAGCCAGCAGTGTCAGAATCATCTAGCAACTTGTTGAAAGGCAGTCTCAGAGCTGCACACAAGACCTGCTTAATCAGAATCTGAAGGTGTTCAGGAATCTGTGATTTGTGTCCAGGAAAACTGGAGCATAATCGCTCTAGGGCTTGGCTTCCCACTGTCCTCAACAGGTTAGAAACTTCCATGGGGTTACCAAACAGTTCCCGAGGTTTCAGAGTTGCCTGAGCCCCTTGAGGCTTAGGTCCCATTTCTCCTGTGTTTCACCTCACGCCAGACACAGCTCTGCGCAGATGCAGGGGAAGGGTGAGCACCCACCGAGCGGGTGACATACTGCTGGGGAATCTTGAAGCAGCGGCTGCCAGATGCCCTCCTGGCACAGGCGGCCTGCTCCTCTGCTAGCCCCGCACACGGGTTGGGTCTGTCTCTGGGGCTGCCCTTATTCTGGACAAGTCAGTCTGACACTGCCCTGCCCCTGCCTGCCCCCTCCCTTCTCCCTGGCATGGAACCCTAACAAGGAGGGGTGCAGCTCAGGGTGCTCAGGGCCCAAGGGGAAAACTAAACTCCTTGGAAAGAAAACTCCCCTTGTTTAGTGAGATCCTCATTTTTACATGAACCGTGTTCCCAGAGACACTTCCAGGTCGCGCTAAGGTTCTGCTAAGGAGCAGTGGATTCTAAATGGGGGGCAGACTCTTCGTGGGCTGGTGTTCCTCTAAGAGTCTGAGATCATGCCGAGAGCTGGTGAGCCGTAGGCCAGGGCAGCCACCATGGCTCAGCTCCCAGCTGCACAGCCGGCTTCTCAGAGCTGGGCCCTGACCAAGAAGCGGGGGAGGCGCCCACTGCAGTTATTAAAAGTTCCCGAAGACTTCACCTCCTGCTCTCCGGAGCTGTGCCCAGAGGGCCCTGTGGACGTGCCCAGGGCGCCGGGGCGGGTGCCCTTGCTCACAGGCGGGTGGCAGGCCCTGCCTCTGGGGGGGTCTTTGGCAGGCCCTGAGCCCAGGCCAGTGCATCTAAAGGACTTGGCCAGGGCCCCAGGCTGTCGCCAGGCCAGAGGTGGCCATGATCCATCAGTCCTCAGTGAGGATTTCTGGAACCCACAGTTACAGACTTGCCAATTCCTACAGGCCGAAGCTGGACAGTGAACGCTGCTGGCCTTGCAGATCTGGAAATGACAATGGGGGCTACTGCAGGGTGCCACTGCCAAACATCTGCCCCGGGGCTCAGGAGGGCAGCTGCACCTCCATGGCTGCAGGGGCAGGTGGCAGTGGGGACAATAGTACTCCTTGGGCCACCATGTCGTGGTCTGGCCTAGAATCAGTGTTACCACTTCTGGGGTAGAGTTCTCTTTAGTCCTTAGGACAGTCTCAGAGGTCATGTTATTAATGCTTTTGCAACATGAAGAATATTCAGCTCAGCGAGGTTGAGCGATGCCCCCAGGACACACAACCAGGAAGTGGCAGGGCCTCATCTGGAAACCTCCCCTGCCTGCTCCAAAGCCCTAGCTGTCGCCACAGCACCGCCCTGCTTCCCTGGCTTCAGGGTCAGGAACTGCTGGGTCGCATGCCGGTTGCCTGAGCCCAGACCACGTGCCTTCTCCTCCCTCCTCATCCCCCTCCCCAGGGCCACAGCCATTCATTCACTTGTCCATGCAACTTTTTCACTCAGTCATTCATCTACAACTAGTTATTGCCCATTATGTGCCAGGCATGCTGGGGACATGGCATGCAAGACAGATACAGTCTCTGCCCTCACGGAGCCCGGGCGCTTGTCTCAATCCATGTTCCAAAGAGCTAGTCGCTGAGCCCAGGATGAGGGCTGAGCTATCATCGCCTGGAACAGAAACTGGAATAGGAGTGATGTCCCAGCCTTCTGTGCCCTCCCCACCTTGTCCCCCACTATTCTAGTCTCCAGACCCCTTGGCCACCTTGCCTGGCTCCCATGTCTGCCCTCAGCATGCCCGAGCACGTCTGAGGTGGACATGCCTCCTCCCACCTTGGCTCGGGCCGAGGGCCTCACCCAGCACCTGCTGACAGGTGGGGGCTTGTGGCTCTGAGGTCCCTCTCCTCCCGCAGCCGTGGCTGGTTGCTCCGGAGTGGACCTGGCCGGGGCAGACCACCCAGGACGAGATGAGCCAGCCAGGTTCTCTGGAAATTTCAACACAGAGGTAGTGAGGCAGAGTCGGTGCCAGGCAGGCAAAGACTTTTACAGCCCAAGAGAAAAGATTCTGTTGCCCACTCCCATATGTCATTCAAAAAAATGTTTTTAAAATACAGCCCCAAACCTGAAATAAGTGAAAGGCAACACAACGAAAGTTCAGATTTTTTTCCATGATGACTATTTCCATGCTCTTATTTGAAGTATTAAATTTTTTTTAAAAAAAGCACATACCTGGCCCATTTGCTGGGCAGCTTTGTGGTGAGTCAGTCACACGTGGCCGTGGGGACAGCAAGGTCAGGGACAAAACAGCCCTGCTGGGGAAGTGCCCGCAGAGAAGGCCGCCCAGGGAAGGGGAGACCCAGAGGGGCAGAGGAGACTGTGCAGCCTGCGGGGCCCCGTCTGCAGGGCTGAGTGTGCCCGTGACCCCAACCCCTCTGCCTGGAGTGGGGGTGGCCTCTGCCCCACTCCCCTCCGTGCCAGGACCCCGCCCGGCCCATACCGGTCGTTGACGAAGGAGAACATGAGCAGCCTCTGCTCGATGAACCACTTCCACTCGGGGTTCTCACTCTGCAGGTCGCGGTAGTTGTCGTTGGAGACGATGATGCCGTCCTGCTCATAGGCCACCTTCACGATGTAGCGGTCGTCGTAGCAGACCAGCCGCTTGCCGTGCACCTTGCGGGACGGGGTGTACACCAGCACCGCCTGCCGCTCCAGCTGCTCCAGCACGTGCTGCTCTGCGGGCGCGGCGACAGACCGCGGTGAGGACTCCCGGGACACCCCCACCCCGCTCCCCACACGACCAGATGAGGGGCAGGCAGGAGGTCCAGTTTCTCCCACCATCGCGCTCACTTCTTTCTCTAAATTGCACTGAATTTGCCCCCAGCCCGAGGCCAAGAGGGCCGTTGGCTCGTCTTGCCCGTGCGGTGACGGGAGCGCTGAGGATGGTACGCGGGGAGGCAGAGTCACTTCAGAAGGAAGTTTCGGCCGCAGCTCTGGTCTGCCTGAGGGTTACCTGCCCCTACCCCAGTAGACACGGGGGCCTCCTCCTGGTTTAACTGGAACCCTGGCAACGCCTCAGCAACGGCAAGGAGTCCTGCATCTTCCTGGAAGGCCCCTGCATGGGCCCTTGGCTGGGAACCACAGGTCCCTCTTCCCCACCATACAGGAATCTGCTCGGGACACCTTTGGGGTGCAGCGTCATATCACCGACAGATCTGAGGGGCTCAAGAATGTAATAGAGGCCGGGCGTGGTGGCTCACGCCTGTAATCCCAGCACTCTGGGAGGCCGAGGTGGGAGGATAGGTTGAGGTCACGAGTTCGAAACCAGCCTGAGCAAGAGCGAGACTCTGTCTCTACTAAAAATAGAAAGAAATTAATTGGCCAACTAATATATATAGAAAAAATTAGCTGGGCATGGTGGCTCATGCCTGTAGTCCCAGCTACTCGGGAGGCTTTGCTTGAGCCCAGGAGATTGAGGTTGCTGTGAGCTAGGTTGACACCACGGCACTCACTCTAGCCTGGGCAACAAAGTGAGACTCTATCTCAAAAAATAAAAAAAAAGAATGTAATAGAGTCCAAGGCTAAGAATCTACAGCCTGGGTTCTGGGCTGAGCCCAGTTCCTGGGTACTTTGCCTCTCTTTTAATGTCAGGTTGTATCTTTATACAAGGAGGTGACAACACCTCCCTAGCCCATCTCAGGGTGTCTATGAGCAGACTGAATAAGCGCGGGTGTGTGAGAGTTCTAGCAAAAGCTACAAAGGAGGTGACCATGTATCAAGTGGTAGAAACATTACAAGGGCTTTCTTATCAGGGCTAAAATTCCCATCCCAGGAAGTTCTGCTGTTTGATCTTAGGTTTGCCTTTGGGGCCTTGCAAAAATAGGAAAAATCCCTTTAACTCATAATATTTACTCAGAATTTGGAAGAGCTTCCTCTTCATAATTTGTCATAAATTGTTTCTTCCCCCAAGTTTAAGTCCTTTCCATTATGACATGGTTTCCAGACTTTAAAAAGGTACATAATGTGGCCAGGTGTGGTGCCTCATGCCTGTAAGCCCAGCACTTTGGGAGGCAGAGGCAGGAGGATCATTTGAGGCCAGGAGTTCAAGACCGGCCTGGGCAATATATCAAGACCCCATTTCTAAAAAAAAAATTTAAAAATTAACCAGGCATGATGGTGCATGCTTGTGGTCTTAGTAAGAGGATCACTTGAGCCCAGGAGTTTGAGGTTACAGTGAGCTATGATGACACCTCTGCCTGGGTGACAGAGGTCTAACAAAAAAATGTGCATAATGTATCTATTATACCAATAATAATAAAAAATGTCACCTCTGTAGCACCTGCTCTGAGAAATGAAGGTGGCCCGTGTTTGGGAAGTCCCCTCTGCCCCAACCAATTTGCAGTCCTCTCCACTTCCCTTAAGATAATCCAAGTTTTAGAACTTTGTGTTTATATTATAATTCCCATGCTTTTATTTTTAAAAATACACATGTATAAAGGATCATTTTCAATGTGGCTACACATTGGACTTCACACAAATGGAATCATACTATACATGTCCTACGCAACTTGCTTTTTTCATTTGAAATCGTGTTTGTCTGGCCATGTCGATAGGTTCACTGCTGTTAGTTTTGTTTAAGTCCCTGGCACAGAAGCCCAAGGGCCTCTCTAGGATATATCTCTAAGAGTGGCTCTTGCTGAGTTGTAGGGAAAGGCGCTTTACAAGATAATGCCAAGTTGTTTTCCAGAGGGGTGATACCAAGTTCCACACGCAGCACAGCATACGAGACAACCTTACCAGCACCTGGCATTTTCAGACTTTTGAATTGGTGAAAATCTAGTGGGTACAAAACTGTCTCCTACTGTGGTTTCATTGTACATTTCTCTGGTTACTAATGAGATTTGGCATCTTTTCATAAGTTTACTAGCCATTTATGTTTTCTCTTCTGTGACTGCCTCATTCACTCTTTAGCTTTCTGTTGGTTCATTGTCTTTGTCTCATCGATTTGGAGCAATTCTCTCTAGATCTAGACTGTAGTCCTTCATCAGGAGCACGTGGTATGTGCCACCGCCAGGGTGAGGCTTGTCTTTGCATTCTGTTTTTGTGGTATCCATTAATGGACAGAAGCTTTTATTTTAATGTAAAATTTATTCATCTTTCCTCCACAGGTTTACGCTTGTGGCTTGTTCAAACATTCCTTCCCTTCCTCAAAATAATTTCCCTACTGTTTGCTCATATTATATTTAAATATTACACGACTGTTGACAGCCACCGTTCTTCATGTTCAGAACATAAAGAATTATTTTGGGTAACTCGCTCAGGATGGAGAACTGAACACAAGAATTTATCTCCCTCCCTCTCAAAGTCCCAACGTAATGGCAATAAAGAGGTACAAAAGGGGGCGTCTGTAATCCCATTCAAATAGGCCTGGGGACAGCAGCAAACCCAGGATTTTGACAGATTTCAGGAAGACAGAAAGCAGACAGGATCCTGTGGATCCCACAGCGTGGAGGGAACCACAGCCCAGAGTGAGCACGGAAGGCTGGAGCGGAGGTGGGAGCCGTGTCCCTGTGTCCCTGCAAAGTCACAGAGCAGTCCCAGCCTTGGAGAAGGGGCGGCGGTCAGGCTGGGCAGGATGGCTAATGGGTGAGCTACTCTCGTGCCAGCTGACGCCAAGGGTATGGAACGCCACTGCTCCCTGCCCGTACCGCTATAGAGAAAGTGCAGACACAACCAGGAAGGAGGCGGCCTCCCACTGTGGCTGCTGACCTCCTAGATAAAAGTGTCATCATTTTGCACTGGAATAGGTGGTGGCAGAGGTGCCCCGCTGCCTGCCTACTCCACGCCAGGTGTGCCAAAGTGAAAACTGCCAGCCACACGGATGGTTAGCCCTGCCATTTAGGGAGAGGTTTGAATGCTGGGAGAGAAAACCCAAGGCAATTGCACAGATGTGCAGTCATGTGCTGCATAATGTTTCAGACCACGTATACGACAGTGGTCCCATAAACGGATTATAATGGACCTGAAAAATTCCTATCGCCTAGTGACGTTGTAGCAGCCCTCATGTTGTGGCGCTACACATTACATGTGTGTGGGGATGCCAGTGTAAACAAACCTACTGCACTGCCCGCATGAAAGTACAGCATGTACAATTGTGTATAGAACATAGTACTTGCTGATGATAACAAATGACTATGTTACTGAAGATGCTGCATCCAAGAGACAAGAATATCTTGGAGTAACAGAGAGAAAAGAAGAAGAAACTGGTAACAATTGATAGAATTTAAAACAAACCAAAATCAAAAACCTTTGGTAAAAATCCTGGAAGAAAAAGTCAAGGAAACCTCCCAGAATCACCAAGAGCTCAGCCCTACATTGTCGACTTGGCTGAAACAAAGCCAACAACGGTTAGCACCAGATCTCTTCTTACAGATTAAGCATCCCTGTTTCAAAAATCCAAAATGCTCCAAAATTCAAAACCTTTCAAGCACCAACATGACACTCAAAGGAAATGCTCGTTGCAACATTTCAAATTTTGGATGTTTTAATTAGAGAGGCTCAACCAGTAGGTATAACGCAAATATCCCAAGCATTTTGGATAAGGGATACTTAACCTGTATAAGAAAGCCAAATAAGAAAACAAACACAATCTTGTTTATTTAAACCATATTACATATCATGAGTTGTTCTAAGAAAAAATAAATAATAAAATAAATCACTGTGTTCTAATATTTGTAGCTTAAAATATTCCTAGCTGAATTAAAAATTAAAAATAAAGAATCCCCTGGGTCTCCATTTTCTTTCTTTCTTTCTTTCTTTCTTTCTTTCTTTCTTTCTTTCTTTCTTTCTTTCTTTCTTTCTTTCTTTCTTTCTTATCTTTCTTATCTAAATGAAGTGATTGGACTAGGTATTCCTAAATAAATATTACCTGACTGAATAAATGTCTCTTTTAAATCCTGTATACTATTAGGAGTGGAACGCAGATCCAATATTCCCTCAGGTGTTAAAACCCATCAGACACAGTTATTTTTGGAACTTAATCATTCACACTAAAAGAGCAATTTATTCATCCCCCCATTCCACAACTATTTATTGAACAGGTAGCATATGCCAAGTATCCTGCTAGGTGCTAGCTGCTAGGGCCATGGCAGTGAACATGATAATCAGTGCCTTCATGGAGCTCACAGTGCAGCAAGGAAGACAGACATCACTAGACAAGCAACCAAATAGATAAGCGACTATCACTGTGCTATCTAAAAAGGATGTATGTGGTGCCTCTTGAGCACGTACTGCGCCAACATACCTCGAATAGGGCTATCAGCTCTTGGTGGTTCTTTCCTCCAGGATGGGACAAAAACCTTGATGTAGGTGTGTCCTCGGTCCCTGAACCAGTCCACAGCCAGCTGGATCCCGCGGCAAGAGAAGATTTCTTTATTTCCATGGCTACAATGGGAAAACAAAGAAATCTGTAGAGACACAGAAAGTGCCCCTAAGAGCGATTTCCCCTGGGAACACCCTGGATAGGAATCTCATAATCGAGGGAACCAGGCAACCCCACATTTTAAAGCCAGTTCGTTGTTCCATTCACAAACTGTGTGCCTTACCTCGAACCATGCAGCCTGTGATAGGTAGGTGGGTCTCGGGTTCCCTGGGGAATACATTCCAAGGACCAACAGACAAGACCCTCTCTTTAACCGAAGCTAATGAGGATCAACATAAATGGGTGAGAGCAGCCATCTGCAGAATTCCTCTCGCCCTGAGAGATGGTTGTAAATGTGTTATTGGGTTTCCCAAGTTCACAAAGACGTCAGCAGAGGCAGGGAAGAGAGAGCGGTGTGAGCACAGGCGGGGCCTCGAGGGCCTGACTGAAGATGTTTTCCTTTTTCCTGAGGGGAATGAAAAGCCTTGGAAGGATGCTAAGATTGGGGATATGTGTGATGCGCTGTGATTTTGATTCAAAAAGCCCAGTCTGGCAGCACAGATAAATTGGAAGGGAGCAAGAGCAGGTGCAGGTAGTGACCAGAGTAAAGACTGATGGTGACTTGGACTGGGCTGGTGGTGGATGAAGGAGAAGGGCAGGTGAACTCGAGAGATACTTGGAAGGTAAAACCCCCAGAGCTCGGCAACCCATTGCCACAGGGCTGACGGAGAAGAGGGCCCCGAGGATGATGGTGGGCTGTCACCGACACACACGGAACGCCGAAGGGAAGAGGCTTCAGAGGGAAAGATCTCGGGTCTGGTTTTGGCTACAGTTGAGCTGTTTACTCGAGATTTCCTCTAAGTGGAGACCTTAAATAAACAGCGAGGACTCAGAGGAGAGGTCTGAGTGATCAAAGTTGGAGGTCATCTCTACTTAAGCAATAGCTGAATCCACAGCGTGGACAAAATGACCCGACTGCCCTGAGAGAAAAGGAACTGTGGGATTTAGCAGCTGCTTACAAGTCGAGGAGGGCAATCTTACGCAAGAGACAGAAAGGATCTGTCAGAGAAGGAGGAAGAAAACAGAAGGGTGCTGCTTCATAATAGCATCCCCTGACCCTCTAGACCCCATCCAGCAGTAATGGGAACAACCGGCGACACCCTTCCCTCCATCGCACCCCCAAACACAAGCACCTCCGTCATTTCAGAAGGAAAAAAATACCACTACCATGATTATTTGAAAAATTGCTTCTTAATTGCTCTCTTTTTTGCGACTCATTACATAGTGTTTAACCATTCAAAAGCCAACTTTCCATCCCTGACACCTTTGGGGTGAGGGGGTTCAGTGGAGAGAGGGGGGAGGGAAACTGAACCCTGGCAGAGCTCCCAGGCAGACAATAAGCATCCACGGGGACCCTGGGCACCCACTCTGCAGCATACAGAGGGAAAAGCGTAACCCAAGGGCATCCACTCATCTGTTCAATCCCCCATGGACACAACGTCACCTTACGAACATCTGTGCTGGGTGCTAAGAAGAGACATCAACTCCGGCTTCTTGGAGCTCACTTTTAATATCTCTAGAGAGTTTGGTTTGCCAGGCCACTCTGCACACTTCACCTCATTTAATCATTACAATAAGCCCTTGAGGAAGTGACCTTCGTCCTCATTTTACCCTTATGGAAGCCAAAGCAAAGAAACGTGCCCTGCTCTCTGGTCTAGTGGCCACCTGACCTGTTGGGCTGCAGAGTCTTCCTCCCTGGTTTCCCCAAAGACCATTTATTCCTCCTCCTTCCCGGTCTCTGCCCGTGGGGTCCAGGTGGCAGCTCCTTCGGGGCAATGATGACCTGCAGTTAATATCCTCACACCTGGGGAGGGGCCTTCCCACCCTCCTCGCCAGGCACTGAGAACCGGGCCAGGCGGCAGGCTGGGCGCCAGGCACTGGGAAGGGGAAACAGGACGGAGGGCAGGAAGGGGAAGTGGGTTGGTGCCAGAGGCAAATTTTGCTGCACGACAACTGTGCCTGGGGCAGCTGCCATTAGGGAGCCTGTCATCGACAGTAACCAGACAATCTCATTGCACACCACTGTGTCTTTGTTGCCTAAGAGGCCCCTGCAGAAGAGAGGGCCAAAACCGTCCTACGCGGAGCAAGGTTGTGGCCGTGGGTGGGAGGGAGGGAAGATGAGCAGCGCTTCCTGAGGAGTCTGAGGTGGGAAGGGCACCCCTAGTTCCATTCTCTTTCTTATCTGGGGTTAAACTTTGACTCCTCCTACCAGGTCTCTGCCCAGCTCAAGTCAGGGGGAGGAGAGAGGATGGGCAGGGGCTGTTCTAGGAGCCCTCGTCTTATCAAAGGAGAAATGGGTGCAGACAGGCAGGAGCCCAAGGCTAACGCCAGGCAGAGCAGATTCAGGGGCCCAGCTGTAAACCCCCCACCCATCTCTTTTCCACCTACCGGAAACCACGGAGAGGGGGATGATGAAAACCGAGAGAGGCATGATTTCCAGCCTGAACTTTCTCTTCATCGGAGGATTTCTTACTCCAGAATAAGCAAGAGTCTGCTGAGTTTTCTAATAGTTTAACACATTATCTGTCATGTGAGTTGTATTTAACTCACGATAGTTTTGAACCCAGGGCCTCGTGAAGCATACGTACTTCACATCTTTTCACCGTGGGACCCACGTAAGCTATTTGTCAAGTTGCATATGACTCACACACAGAAAACAATTAAAAATGACAAATCTTTCATTAAATTAGAAAGGATCATTTTGTTTTTGACACTTTTTATTCTATTTTCGTAATAAAACACCGTGGCTGTAAGGAAAAAATTTTGTCTTCTAGTGTGGCAGTCAGTGTGTTAAAAACATAAACAACAACTCAAACAAAAAGCCCTGTACCCTCCAAAACGAGGACACATTCAAATGAAACCCTCCTCTGGGGCAGTAAAGAGGATGTGAAATTATCAGGTGGTTTCCCCCCAAGCCTGTACTTCAAATCCTGCCTTTTCTAGATTTGCCTATAGAATGTAAAACAGAGTGGCCACTGGTGAGTCCGCCTGCCCAGGCAAGGAAATGCTGCAAGAGTTAGCTCATGAGAACTCCGGTTCTTCCCAGACACCATGATGCAGCTTTTAATATGCTTTCAATGAAAGCTGCCTTCTTTTTAAAAATCTGCTGCTGGACATTTTTCTTTGGGCCAGGGGTCCGTCAACTGAGGTATTCAGCTGAGTAACCCAAGCTGACCTCTCTCTCTCTCTCTCTCTCTCTCTCTCTCTCTCTCTCTCTCTCTCTCACACACACACACACACACACACACACACACACACCCTCCTCCATCCTGAAGGTGTGGGGCTGTACTTGGCAATCAAGCAGAGCTAACGATCAATGCACATGCAAGGAGCCCCAGCCCCTTGGCAGCAGCAGGGGTGCGTGCTGCCACCAGCCCTGCAAAGGACTCCTGGTGGAGGGAGCAGAGGCCTCTCATGCCCTGTCTGCAGCTGGTATGCCCAGGGCTCACCCTGCAGGGGAAGGGCTCTGGCTCCACGACAAAGGCCTATGAGGTCAGGGTCTCCCACTCTGCAGCCTTTCCTAAGTCCAGACTGGGGAACAGCGGAAGAAATGGGAACTGCATGGGAAAGAGCACTGAATCCAAGCAGGCGCTGTTGCTCTGGGACCTCAGGCAAGTTACTTACTCTCTCTGAACCTCAGAAGAGGAAGAAAAATTCCTTTATAAGAAAAATGTATTTACTTCTTTCAAGCATATGTAAAATAACTAAGTTAGGCCAGGCACAGTGGTTCTCGCCTGTAATCCTAGCATTTTAGGAGGCCAAGGCAGGAGGATAGCTTGAGATCAGGAGTTCAAGACCAGCCTGAGCAAGAGGGAGACCCTGTCTATACCAAAAAAAAAAAAGAAAAAAAGAAAAATTAGCCAGGTATCGTGGCATGTGCCTATAGTCCCAGCTACTCAGGAGACTGAGGCAGGAGGATTGCTTGAGCCTAGGAGTTTGAGGTTGTAGTGAGCTGTGGTCATACCACTGCACTCTAGCCCAGGTGACAGAGTGAGACTCTGTCTCAAAAAAATAAAAATAAAAATAACCACCTTGAATCTTAGCATGTTAGAGATTTAAACAAAAAAAAAAAAGTGATTTAAGGTTATTTAGTCCAACCTCTAAATTGTGTAAACAGGGCTCGAAAAAGTCAGATGGGCTGGACTCGGTGGCTCACACCTGTAATCCAAGCACCTTGGGAGGCCAAAGCCCAGGAGGCTCGCTTGAGCCCAGGAGTTGGAGGTTGCAGTGAGCTAGGATTGTATCCCTGCACTCCAGCCTGGGCAACAGAGCGAGACCCTGTCTCAAAAAAAAAAAATTTTTTTTAAGTCAGACGACTCTCCTGAGGCTACACAGCTGGTAGGCTGAAAAGCAGAGCTGTAAAGTCCAATAATAGCTGCTCACTACATGTGGCTATTCATATTTAAGTTCAGATTAATTTAAAAAAATAAAATCTAGAATTCAGTTCTACTTGGTTGCACTAGCCACAGTTCAAGTGCTAGATGGCCACATATGACAGGTGGCTACCATATGGGACAGTGTAGGTATAGTACTCTCTCTTGTCACAGGGAGTTGGATGGCCCTGAGCTAAAGGTGCCCACATTGTGTCCCTTCCCCTTGACCTCCCTGGTGTCCTATGTGGGTTATGGCAAACAGGGGCAGCCATAAGTTCTGCTGCCTGGGCCCTGCTGTGTGCTCTTCCCGTTTTGACCTAGAGTTCTTATGTTGACATATCCCTTAGGAAACGGTAGATGACACCATTCGTCCTGCTTGAAAGAGTCCATTTCTTGCAGAAAACACTTGGACAGTGACCCATTCTGCGGACCTCCAGAGAGCAGCAGCCAGGCTTCCAGGTTCGGCCACAACACACTGCCTTGGGCTAAGCCATCTGAAGCATCGGAGAGGGAAGCTCATGGAAACTTCTACCTGTGGTGGCATGGCCAGGGAGCACGCTGGAGGTCGGAGTCTGATTCAAACCAGTGTTGACCTTGGCCAAGGCCATCAAGCCCCATCCTGTGCAACTGAGAGGGCCCATACAAGGACTGATGGCCCACTCTCACATTCTCTGTGCTAATAGGCACAGGATACAATAAAATCCCTGACCATAAAGCAAGACATTATCTGTAACTTCTCGCTCTACATCAGCGGTTCCTAACATTTTGGGGAGCATAGATCCTTTAAGTATCTATTGAAAGCAATGAATCTTCCCGCAGAGAAACGCATAAATGCACATATGCATGCCACATCGTGTGCATCATTTCAGGCCATTGCTGGCTTTGAAGACAGAGGGACCATGAGCCAAGGAATGCAGGCAGTCTCTAGAAGCTGGAAAAGACAAGAAAGCGAACTATTCCCCAGAGCTTCCAGAAGCCCACCCCAGGCTCCAAGGGACAGAGCCACAGCCGGCAACAGGCACACTGAAGGATGCTCCTGCCAGCAGATGACGTGCTTCTCAGCTGCTCAGGGTAGGAAAGTCTTTAGCTTTCTTTAAGTCTTTAAGCCCCACCACCCCAGGGCCAGACAGTGTGTGAAGCAGTATCACCTTCAAAAACCGAGAATGGGCCAGGTGCATCGCTGTGGCTCACACCCATAATCCTAGCACTTTGGGAGACTAAGGTGGGAGGATTGTTTGGGGCCAGGAGTTTGAGACCAGCCTGAGCAAGAGCGAGACCTTGTCTCTACAAAAAATACAAAAACTAGAAAAATTAGCTGGATGCGGTGGCTCGTGCCTGTAGTCCCAGCTACTAGAGAGGCTGAGGCAGAAGGATTATTTGAGCTCAGGAGTTTGAGGTTGCAGTGAGCTATGATGATGCTACTGTACTCTAGTCCGGGTAACAGAATGAGACCCTGTAAAAAAAAAAAAAAAAAAACCACAGAAAATGGCAATGTCTGCAACACTATAAAACCTCAGTGAAAAAGAATTTTCAGAAACCATGTTTCTGAGGTTAATTGAATTTTGAGGCCAACAGATAATAACAAGACACCACTTTGGGTTTCAAACATCCTTTCCCTATAAAGAGTAAGGACCCACTTGAATCTCTTTCACGACTGAGGATCTGGCAGACCCTGAGGGACATGTGTCCTGCTGAAACTCCCATTGGAGGACATGGTAGACATCACTGTAGAAGGGTAGGGGATGGGTGGAACCTGGGATCCCTACTCTCTCCCAGAACTTGCCTTTGGAAGGGACAAATTAAGTCTCATGATCAGGTGGTTGTTGTGCAATTTGTCTCTTTTTCTTAACAATTGGGATCCAGGGGGCAGGGGTGGAGATGTCTGTATGTGTAGACAGTATGTGTGTGCATACAAATATGTGCACACACAGAATACACATAGCTACCTGTGTTTTGTAGGCAGCCAGTGTGTGAACACATTTATGCTCTGAGACACTCTTTTGTAATAAGTCTGAGTGATGGTTTCCATTTGTAACCCACACAGATTGAACACAAAGGGGTTAAACTGGTTATAACTGCAGGAAATTGGGGGGTAGAGATGGGAGGACTAGCAGATTTACCCAGGACACATTATGGTCATGTGCAAATAGAAGACATGGCTTAAGTCTGAATTCCAAGCAGCAACAGAGACTCCCATCAAAAGAAAACCCACCACCACCTTATTATGACAATTCCTAAAAAAATGCCTGATCCCCAAAGAGAGAATGCTGACACCTTCCAGTAGCCCCTAGAGTAGTCTTTTCACCCTATAGCCATTCTGCTGTTGGGATTTGGAATCACAGAACTCATAATCTCAGGACTGGGAAGGTCTTTGATTTAAGCAGTATCATCTCACATGCAAAGCCCTCTGCCTATCAATGCCCAGAGAGAGGCGCCTTGTCCAGATCACACAGAGGCCAGGGCCCCTCTCACAATCCTCCCAGTAGGACCCTTAGAACCTACTGGATTCTTAAAAAATCCCTTTAACTCTCAAGAGATCTTAAATTGAGCAGGAGTTCATAGGCTTACCTATCTGGTGCCTACACAGGACATGGGTGAGAATGTGATAGTGACCCCATGCACCAGCCCCTAAATCCCAGGGGGAAGAGAGGGCTCCATCACCTGTTGATATAATCAAGGCCTGGGAGACAAGGCTTGGTTTTAACAAACACTCTCAGTATACACCACGAAGAGTGTGTAGGGACAGCCCCAGAGGCTGGGACATCATGGCTTGAACCCTTCCAAACTTCTGCCCTGCAGTGCCAAGTCCAACGTGAACCCAAATCCCCAAGGAAACGCTCGGATGCTCTGTTGACTCATTTGGTGCTGTGGATAACTGCTTTTCTGGATTCCCACCTCCAGGTGGAAGTTAACTCAGCTTTTGAAAAGGGGAGCACGTGTATTTACATCTGTGAGTGAACAATTTCTTAACTAAAGCCAAGTGGTAGAATAATCCACTTGTTTGAGCAACAGCCCGCCTGGCCCAGCAGGGAGTCAGGGGAGGCTGCAGAAACTCTGTGCCAGGGGAGCTCAGCCAAGAGAGGCAGGATAACAGCTCCGCACGATGCTCGCACCCCCAAAACACACGAAGATGCCAATACACAAATATTCACATAGCCGTGTCTGCAGCGTGGGGGCCACAGTCACCTCTCCCCAGCCTACCAAGGGAACCGCAACCCAGCAGAGGTCTTCCCACCTGGCTCTCCTAACCTTGCGAGAAGCAGAAGAGATACCAATGGGCCTGGTTCATGGAAGAGGAAATGAGTACTATGGCTTTCCCAGAGTCACGCAGCTTTGTTAGGTACAACGCCCGGGCAAGGAGCCACATGGGCCTACACCTGAGCCTGGACTCCTCTGGGATTGCCACTGCCTTCCCCAGAAGGGACTGTTCCTCTGCGTTCATATAGTGACAGCTACAGCAGTGGAACACTTACTCCGTCCCAAGCTCTGTCCTAGGCATTCTGCGCAGGTCGGATGCTCACAACTACCCTATGGGAGGCTTTATCTCAGCAATACAAATGGACAAAGTGAGCTTCAGAGAGGTTAAGTGATTGCTTACGGACACACCACTAAAAAGGGTTTCAAAGCCCCATGCACGGCCCCAAAGCTCTTTGGAGCCAGCCGCAGAGAAGAGGGGCAGTTCCCAGGGCGGCTGAGCGCAGGCCCCGCCCGCGCCCAGGGTGAGGGAAGGCTACCTCATCGCCACGTTGCTGCCGTCAATCACTATGGGTCGCAGGGAGCAGGCCGGGCCTCCGCAGTCCTCTTCGGGGGCTGCCCCCAGGCGGCGCCGGGCGGAGTCGGGGAGCCCGCAGGAGCCGCGGGGCACGAGCTGGGGCGCGGCCTGGGCCGGCGGGGCCCCGGGGCGGCTGCCGGTGCGGATCAGCTCCTGCAGCACGTCGTTGACCAGGGCGCCCTCGCCCAGCTTGCCCAGCACCCTGAGCACGTCCTCGCGGCCGTAGCCCAGCTTCTGGAAGAAATCCATCTTGCTCGGCCGCTCCATGCTGGGCCCGCCGGCCGGCGAGGGTCCTGCCCCCGGCTGCGTGCAGGCCGGGCGCCGCGGGCATGAGCTGCGGAGAGAGGGCGCCGTCAGGGGCTCGCGGCGGCCCGGCCGAGCTGAGCGCGCCTTCCCTCCCTCCCGCCTTATCTGCCAGGAAGTCATGTCGAGCCCGGTCCCCGGTCCCCGGTCCCCGTGGGGATTTTCAGTTGCTCGGTGTGGTTGGGGAGCCGGAGATGCAACCACGCGGCCTTTACTTAGTGCTCTGAGGGACACCGGCCACACGGCCTGGCACCCAGAGCTCGGGACAGGCGCAAGAAAGGTGTCTGAGGCTCGGTCATGGCCTGACTGGTGTCCTAACAAAACTCCCGTGTTGAAGCCCTTACCCTCCACCCCCGTACCTCCCAGGGTGACTGTATTTGGAGACAGGACCTTTAAGATGAGGTCACTAAGTTGGACCCTAATCCAATATGACTGGTGTCCTTATAAGAAGAATTTGGACACAGGCAGACACAGAGGGACCACCACGTGAAGACGCAGGGAGACACCCTGCAGACACCTTGATCCCAGACTTCCAGCCTCCAGAACTGGGAGACAATGAGTCCCCCTGTTTAAGCTCCCAGGCCACACTGTTTGGGTCTGGCAGCCGTAGCTGCCTAATAGAGGCCCTGGTGAATTCTACTCCCAGAAAGCGGACGCTCCCACCCAAGTTCAGCTCTGTGCGCTGCACGCCTTCCCTAGCAATTAACTCAGACCATACTGAACCTCTGCAATAAATGGTGCTATCCTGAACTCGAGCCTTCCCATCCAGTATCACTGCTTGGCCTGTATCTGTGGGGTGGCCCAGGAAGGATGCTGCAGCCGGACAGACATTTTCGAAAGGAAGAATAAGACCAAAGCAACAGGAATACTATGGACTGGGTCCCTCTCTCTTTTCTACCCACACAGACCTACATCTTTCAAAAAGCACTTAAAAATACAGATATAATCATTCACTGTGAATGAAAAATTCAAACAAGGCAGAAGTATAAAGAATAAAAAGATATAATATCTCTTAGTGCATACCCTAACCCCCTTTGCCTGCTCTGCTGTTTGCTTGCACTCTCCAGCACTTTCTCTACACATTTACCTGCATGTCTAATGCACACAAATATTGTTTTAGGGTTGTTTTATTTTTACAGAAATTGTGTCATACTATACATATAGCTCAGCAACTTGATTTGCTTATTAAAAATGCACTTTGAAAATCTTTCCATGCCAGTTTACCTGCTCTGCTGCTCACTGTGTCCCCAGCATTTAGGACAGTGCCTAGTACAGCTGAATCTCGTTATATGTGTTGATTGATGAATGAATGAATGAATGAATGAATGAGTGGTGTTCTCTAGGAAGAGAGTGGTGTTCTCTTCCTGTGGTTCTTTAACCACATGGAAATTTGTCTTCCATTTTCTGCCGTTACAAATCATGCTCAATGAACATTCTTGCATATCGATCTTGCTTTTTACCTTCAATTCTTAATCTCCTATTTGACTTCTTTGCATCACTCACGTATCTCTGCGAGCTCCCTACTTTGGCTTGGCATTCTCTGCAGGCCTCTCCCTGTGTGGAGAAGCCAGAGCAAATCTAACAATGGCAGTCTGGCAGGCAAAGGGCATTTCGCAGCCAACCTCCCGGGACAGCGAGGTTTCTGTCGCAGTCCCCAGCTGTTCACCTTCCACTCTACCCTAACCACTGATGGCCAGCACCACTGCTGAAATGCCAAAACTGCCCCCAAGGTCACCAGTCCCCTGCTTACTGCCAAATCTCACAGCATCTTCACAGTGCTGCCCTCATACAAACTCTATGCCAATTTGGACACTGGGGACCACTTGCTGACTTGCTATTTTAAATCAAAAAATTACAGACTGTCCTTTTCTTGAAACTCTGTGCTCCCTTAGGTTGTAGAACTTGGCCTGCTTCTCCTCCTGAGTCTTTCCAGCTCTCTGTTCACTCCTTCAGTGTTGGGGTCCTGCCCAGACCCTCCAGCAGCCCCTATATTCCAGTGGGCCACACAGCTGCATGTCTGGCTCAGACCTCCTACTGAGCACCAAACACAGTTATAAATCTGTGAGATAAATGCCAGGCATGCTATTTAAATAAACTGCTATAGGAACTCAGAATGCTGCCATTCAACAGATATTTGCTAAGTGTCTACTTCAATGGTTCTCAAAGTGTGGTCCAGGGACCCTCAGGGGACCCCAGGACTTTTTCAGAGAGTCTGTGAAGTAAAAACTATTTTCATAATAATGCTAAGATGTAATTTATTTCACCCTCATCCTCTCATGAGTGTACAATGGAATATTCTAGTGACTACATGTTGTGTGATATTGCAACAGTTTGAATACAGAATACAGAAGCGGATATGAGAATCCAGCTGTTTTCTACTAACCCAGACATTAGAGAGATTTGTAAAAATGTGGCCAGGCTGAGTGGCTCATGCCTGTAACCCTAGCACTCTGGGAGGCCAATGCAGGAGGATCCCTTGAGCTCAGAAGTTCAAGACCAGCCTGGGCAACAAGAGAACTTTGTCTTTACAAAAAATAAAAAAATTAGCTAGGCATGGTGGCCCATGCCTGTAGTCTTAGATACTCTGGAGGCTAAGATGGGAAGATTACTTGAGCCCAGGAACTTGAGGCTACAGTGAGTTATGATCACGCCACTGCACCACAGCCTGGGCAACAGAGTTAGACCCTGTCTTAAAACAAAAACAAAACAAAACAAAAAAAAAGAAGCAGCAGCACAATGATGAGAACATTCTGGAATGCTTAGAGAGCATGGAGAAGTTCAGTGTAGCTCTAGAGAAAGGGTCAGGCAGTCATGGACAGTAAGATGGATCAGGGGATCAGAGGATATTTCTCAGCAGGGGAGTGACATGGTCAGACTTGTTTTAGAAATACAGTACTGGCCACAAGCCAGATGGGCTTCAGGAAAGAGACCCTTAGGAGTCCATGAAAGTCGTCAGTTGTGAAGACAGCAGGATGGAAGGGTGGGTGGGGCAGGAGGAGATGGGCTTGAGAGGGTCAGATTAAGGGAGGGAAGACACCAGGCTTTCTGCACTGTGGCCCTAGGAGAATGGTGGTGTGTCTATAGACCATACACAGAGCCAGCTACGTGGTCTCAAACTCCTGACCTCAAGCCATCCTCGCATCTCAACCTCCCAAACAGCTGGGACTACGGGCATGAGCCACTGCACCCAGCTCAGCACTGCACTTCTATAGACGGTTTCCTCTCTACTTGGAATGCCCTTTTTGGCTTGGCAAACTTCAAGATTCAGCTCAAAAGTCACTCAGAGCAGCCATCCCTGACCCTACAGACAGAATGAGCAGATTAGTCATCTACCACAGCACTGTGTTCACACCTCTGTTATAACACATTGAATTGTCATTTACCTAGAGACTGAAAGCCTCAAGTATTCCGACCTGCTGCCTCAGAGTCACCAGCACCTGGCATGGTGCCCAGTATATCTGAGGAGTTTAATAGATTTTTAAGAAAATAAATGTCCAAAGCTAGAGTTATGCTTCCTCCCCAAATATTTTTCCAGGGGTTCCCTGTTTCATTGAATGGCATCCCCCTAATGACCCAAAGAAGAAGTCTCAATGTCACCTCTGACTTTCTCTTTCCCTCACTCTTACGTCCAACTGGTCAATAATCCATTTCCTGGGCCTTTCCCATAAGCACCTCCCTTTACACTCACATCACCACTGCCCAGCTCATCCACGCCCTCCTGTGACAAACATTTACTGCTCACCTACTTGGCGCCAGCACTGTACCGGGCCCCAGCTCTATAAAAACAAAATAATACGCAATCCCATTTCAACTCATTCACAGTCTATTCAGGAAAACAGACCGAAAAATGTAAACAACGGGCAAGCCATAAATCATGACGATAAGCACAATACTTTCGATTAGAAAACTGTGCTTTCAGAACACAGGTGAGGAACGGCTTATCTTCCCGTGAAGGGCGGGGCGAGGCCGGGGCCTCACAGCTGCGCGCAGGGCAGGTAGGTCCAGCGTTCTCGGTCGCACAAGGGCCAAGGCACACTCGGTGGCATCATCACAGTCGGCCAATCCACCCTCCAGGCTCTCGGCCACCTGCCTCTCGTCTCTTGTCCAGCCTCACCTTCGTCTCTCTGCCTTGTGACCAGTCCTCTCTTGGGAAGGTTGTCCCCTTGGGCTGGGGGCCAGCTATGGTCCAAACTCCATGGAGGAAGGGGACGCTCACACAGCCTGGCCGACCAGCCTCACGCCAGGGGCTGACCCCAAAAGGCCCTCCCTCTACGCAGGCTCCTCCCTCTGCCCCAGTGCCTGCCCCCCAGGGGGACCCCACTGTCACAGCCTTCCCAATCCTGGCAGCCTGCTACACGCCACCTCCACCCCACCTGCCATGCAAGTGCTGCAGCCCTCATTTTAGTTTGGAAAAAGGAGACAGGAGGGAGGGAAAGGAGGCGTAGGAGAAAGAAAAGAGGGTGGGAACTAAAGGGAGATAGACACAGGTGAGGAAACGGGGCTCACTCGGTACAGAGTCAACGTCAGTAGCCAGTCAATAGCAGACACAGACCATCATTAGATGCCAAAAATAATTGGCCGCTTTCAGTTGTGTTCAGGACGGAGGCAGCATCTTGTTACTGCAGAAGTGGAAGAACTAAAATACGACTGGGTCGGGTGGCTTGTCTTGGGTCACGAGGAGACTTCATGTTCATTCTGACACTTTGCATTCTGGTGTGACAGAAACACAAGCATTTCCAGAATGAAAAGACAGGGTCGTTCACCTGGGGCGGGGCAGGGAGAGCGGCCACCCGAGACCCTGTCCAGGCGGCAGCCCACACACACAGCCCTCGAGTCACAGCCCAGGGCTCCCTTCCCGAGGAGACTTCTGAAAGGGCGGAGGTGGGACAAGAGAGCTGTTTTCACACAAGACTGACAGAAAGAGTTCGCCTACTGCCTGCCCAGGCTCCCTCCCGCTTTGAGACTTTAAAATCAACTTCATTTCCTTTTAAAACTAAATAAGGAAGAAACCGGGGTGCGGGTGCTATTCTCGGGAGCCTGGGGCCTCGGGTCACAGCCCTCGCCTTCCGATGTGATGGTCTCTGAGCTGCAACTCGGCCAGCTGCTTTTCTGTCCTTCCTATTTTTGAGACATGAAAGTATGAACCACTTCATTTCAGTTTTCTTCCTCAATCTTGACTGGAAGTCACAGAGAGTACAGATGATGAGCAACGCTTAGAAAATCTTCACTGTCCCCTCACGAGGTCTTAGGACGGTCAGCACGGACCACTTTCCCATGGTAGCAGTCAGGGCCAGCGTGACTGGTGTGTGTTCAGGTGGAACCCAAAGTTAGAGCTGGTCTGGCAAGACGGCACAGAGGGAAGGGAGGGAGGTGGAACTGCACAGGTGGGACCAGGGGAATCGGACCAGATCTGTTAGTTCTAGAATCAGCTAACCCAGGTGAGGGGCCCTAGGCCAGAGGTCTATAACCTCTGACTGGAAGAGGCCCTGAGGAAAAGAATGACAGAGAAGCTGAAAGAGGAGAAAAGGAGCGGGAGGAGATGTGTAGAGAACCATAGCTCCCACGTGCACAGTGTTTTATAGTTATAAAGCACGTCCTTGAACATTACCTGTGGAAACCCCAACGTCCCTTGGAGGTGGAAAGAGCTACCTCATTCACGGCACAGGTGAGGAAACAGGAAAAGAGAGGCTTTGGTGACATGCCCAGGGTCCCACAGCTAGCAAATGGGAAAGGCCAGACTCCCAAGGGTGGCGATTCCCGCTGTAGACAGGGCTACCCAGGGCTGCTTGGGTACCACTCAATGGCCACCACCAAGCAGGGTGCACCCACGTGCCAGCCTCAAAATCAGCACACTCAACACCTTGCTCCTGTCCCCCAAGTCCATTTCCGGGTCACCTCTGCCAGCCCCACAGAAATCCAGGACATTACAGCCTCCAGAACTCAGCCACCACGATGAGGAAGTTGTCCTGCCCCCAGCTCTGGACGGAGCCCAAGCAGAAATGCTCTGGGTCAGCTCAGCTCTAGAGGCCCTCGGTGGAGCTGTCAGTTAGATTTTGAGGAAGTCACAGAGAGGCAAAGACTTCAGCCCATGGGACTTGCATTTTGTTGCCTGGCCTTTTTGGGGGGAGGAGGAGGGATGTAGTTGTTTTTTTTTTATTTTTTAAAATCATGGTAAAATATACATCATGCAAAATTTACCATTTTAACCATTTTAAGGGTAAGTTCAGTAGCATTAAGTACATTCACATTGTCATGCCACTATCTCCACCATCCATCTCCAGAACTCTTTTCATCCTGCAAAACTGAAACTCCATACCCATTAAGCAGTAACTCCCCATTTCCTCTTCCCCAGCCCCTGGCAACCGCCATTCTACTTTCTGTCTCTATGAACCTGATGGATAGTACCCCATATGAGTGGAGCCGCAGAGCATCTGTCCTTTCGTCACTGGCTTACTTCACTTAGTGTGATGTCCTTAACTTTTGTCCATGTTTGTAGTAGGTGTCAAGGTTTCCTTCCATTTAAGGGCTGAGTAACATTCCTTCCTAGGTGTACGCCACACCTTCTTTATCCTTTCATCCCCCAACTTGGCTGTTTCTGCCTCTCACTTCTGTGCATAATGTTGCTATGGACGTGGGTTGGACTAGCCTGGCCTCTTGCTTTGCCCTTGAACTTGTCCCCTGCTCTTCTGTGCTGCTGCGGGTTATTTAGCGGTGTACGCACAGCATTTAAGCCCTGATCCACATCCCAGAGCAACATCCCACATCCCAACGCAGTCATGTGCCAGGTATGGCCCTCCAGGGTTGGCCTTGGAGAGGAGTTCATACTCTTGGGGAGCACAGCTCAGGTTTCTAATGGCTGCAGGGAATTAGCCAGAATTGTCTTCACTGCTGTCAGATTAAAACAGTTCAATTTCCTCACTGACCTTCTCGAAGCCAGAGAGCCATCCTTTGTAAGAGATGCTGCCAAAAGTTTTTGACCTGCATTCCGTCAGGAGACCAGACACCCACAAATCACTACCTAGTCTAGAAGATGCTTTTGTGAACACGGAGACAGGGTTAAAATGTGCCCAAGAGTTCTATTCCTTCCGCTTTTTTTTTTTTTTTTTGAGACAGAGTCTTGCCTTCTTGCCTAGGCTAGAGTGAGTGCCGTGGCGTCAGCCTAGCTCACAGCAACCTCAAACTCCTGGGCTCAAGCGATCCTCCTGCCTCAGCCTCCTGAGTAGCTGGGACTACAGGCACGAGCCACCATGCCCAGCTAGTTTTTATATATATATTAGTTGGCCAATTAATTTCTTTCTATTTTTATAGTAGAGACAGGGTCTCACTCAGGCTGGTTTTGAACTCCTGACCTTGAGCAATCCGCCTGCCTCGGCCTCCCAGAGTGCTAGGATTACAGGCGTGAGCCACCGCGCCTGGCCTCGACTTCTTAACTCTAAAATATCTTCAAAGGCCACAGAGGTTTTACTTAAACTCAAGAGTTTCCTCTGCTTAATCGTTCCCTCACAAAAGCCATCTGGAAATGACACACAATTTTGCTAAAATGAGCAAGGATTTCACCTAACAAACTAAATGTACTTATTTTTTTATTTGAGCACTTAAAATAATTTAGGGTGTGAGAATTAGATTGGGATAATACTCACCTGAGGATGAGGACGGCTCTCTAACCCACCGTCCTCCTGCCCCAGGGGTCTGTCTCTCTGCTCCCACCCCGGACTGACATCTGCACGGTACTGGCCACCCTGAGGGATGGCAGGGGACACGCACTCACCAGCAGGGTGTGTCCCTCCGGTCTCCAAAACGGACACTTGGTGGGCCTTCGCACCAACGGTCCCCTGTCAGAGAGAGGCCAGGCCCCCGGCTGCCCCCTGCGTCAGGGGAAGGCGGCTGGCCTGCGACACACTGCCGCTAGGAGCCACTTCATACCGACGCTCACTTCCTGAACGCCTCAGTCACGAGTCACGTTCAGCTGCAAAGGTAGTTATGCTTTGAGTTAAAAAAAAAAAAAGAAAGAAAGGAAAGGAAGAAAGCATTCAGGCCAGGGAGGGGGACTTGAAGTTTGCGCCTCAGCATGAGTCACCGAAGTGCAATAACCACATGCAAAACAGGGCGCCCTGCACAGCTCTGGCGGGGCTGGCTGCACAGGAGAGTCTGTGCCCAGTCCCCACTCCTGCCTCCAGCTGGGGACACCATTTGATCCCAGCCGCTCCTCAGGAACATTGGTCCTCGCCGCTAAACAAAGACACAGCTTTCGGGAGGCCAGAGTGTCAGGGCAAGGAAGGACAGAGCTGGCTGTGGGGAGGAGGGTTCACAGGGGACCCGGCATTGAGGAGGACTCTGTCCCTGCCTTCAAACGAGGGGGAATCCCAAGCAAGTCACAAAGTCCTTTGGACTAGTGGTGTCAGAGGGAACGCGGCCCAGCGCGGAGTGGGCAGTGGCTTCTCCCTCCCTGTGGCAGGAAGTCTGGCCCCAGACCCACCTGACCGCGGCATTCTGCAGCCCGTTGTGCCACCAGCCTCGGCAGGTGCCGGCAACAGACCCCGAATTCCGCGCCCGTTTCCTGAATTGGAGGATGCCCGTCAGAGGTCAGAAGAAGAGGAAAGAACACAGACAAAGCACGTAGCAGCCCCCTCTCAACAAACAGCCGTGTGTCTGACAGTCACCCGCCCACGGACGCACGGGCAGCAGAAGTGGAGAAGCTGGGAGCTGGTGCTGAGGAAATAGGAACCGCACAGGTTAACAACGGGGATTTGTTGCTTGCGCTGTTTATTCCCCACCCGTCTCCCAAAGAAGATTTGAAACAGTCGAGAATATTAAAACACAGGGAATGGGATAATTGAGACAAAAATGAAAAGTGCAATCAGAAATCATTAGGAGAAAAAAAAACATTGTGCTGGAAAGCTAGATTAGAATAGTCATTGCATAGGAACACTAATTCCAGCTTTGAATGTTCTGGCACACGAATTTTCTAATAACGACTCCCATTTGTTTTGCACCAACAATATATTTGGTACTTAACATCAAAGTGTCCTAATCCACACAACAGCTCTGTGACACAGGAATAATTATTCTCATTTTGAGACGAGCTCACAGGAGCTGAGTAAGGGTAACTGAACTTCCCCAGTTCACTCAATAAGCAGTTGACTCAGGATTGAAACCCAGGGCCATCAGGCTCCAAAATGTGATTTTTACACAACCACACGTTGTCTCTAAGCTTTCAAAACCCTAAAAAAAGCATTCAGAGTTTTCAAGAGAATTACATATTTCCCTGGTGTTAAATTTTAGGAGAAACCTAAGTTCTTATGTTGAATAACATATCAGATGATCTCGTCAGCTCAAATCCTATGAGATGCCAGGCGGTCTTCAAATGCCCATTCTTCATCCGAAGCCCCAGTAGAAGCTGAGGGTATAACCTCCACTCAGGGAAGGCGTTTCTATGGGGAAATGAGCTAACGTTGTCCAAGAGCCTTGCTCTCTGGTCATCTCACAAAATAAAGCAACAGGACCTAGAGACACATATTGTAATGGATTCCTTAGATGATTTCTTCCAAACGCTGGATGATGGAGACACATTTCTTTTAGGTATGGGACAGCAATCAATCAAAGAAGATTGAGGAGACTACCAAGTGCCACCCCTGGGTGATGAAATTTAAGAATCCCAATTTGTATTCAATCCCAGATAAACAGAACTTCTGCATGAGACAGGGACCACAGTAGCAGCACCAAATTGTTTCTCAAAAAAGATGTTGGAATCTGCTCGACTAGCAGACAAGTGTTTGATGTGATTTCCCAAAATTGTGTGTCTTAAATACTGGAGAGATTATTTAGACCAGAAAAGTTGTTACTCAGTTGTCCCCGTTAAGAAAAGAACCATGGCCTGGCACAGTGGCTCACACCTGTAATCCCAGTGCTTTGGGAGGCCGAGGCAGGAGGATCACTTGAGGCCAGGAGTTCAAGATCAGCCTGGGCAACATAGCAAGACCCTGTCTCTAAAGACAAAACAGAAGAACCACCATAGGGTCCCTTTACAGTATCTTATCTAGAGAAGCCTCATTTTGATTCCTCTCCACAGCTACAGGGATTTAACTGCTATGACTCTGAAAAGCTGAAAGAATCAAACCACTGTTTAGGCTACGTACTGGCCACTTGAACAAGAAATAAGGCCTGCTAGCGGTAACCATTTTAGTTACAACATCACTGACCCCAAACGACGCTCTGCCCGTGACAGAGTGGGGAGAACGCAGCAGCTGCCCTCCTGCAGTGGTGGTCGGGCACACTCCCCACATCTCTACATGGTGTTAGAGCACAGAGAAAAGAGTGGGACAGCAAGCCTGGAACACTTCCCTCTTCTGCCCGGAGGCTATTTCTGCCCAGAGGCTATTTCTGCCCATTCTGGCCCCAGCGGTGAGACTGAGGTCTGTGCTTTTAGGAAGCTGCCTGGAGGTGTTGAGATGGTGGGTCGAAGACATGTGGGTACAGCGCCCCCCCCCCAACAGAGGAAGGCTCAAACTCGCAGAGAGATATTTGCCATGGAGCCCTGGAAGCCTGCCCATGCACCCAGTCGGGAAGCCCTGGCTGGGCGGCCTCCTTCTATCTGCAGCACCAGTGAACACCTCAAACAGTCTTTGCTGTGTCACCTGTGCCCTTAGTGAGCTGAAACACAGCATGTATAGCTATTTGGTGGTGACACGGACATGCATAGGCTGGGTCCTCCTGGAAACGGCCCAGCGGCCTTCCAGTGACCTGTCCGCCAGCAGCATGAGAGAGTTCCCGTTTCTCCATTTCCCACCAACATTTGGGATCGTGAGACATTTTGTCCTCGCCAATCTGATGTGTGAGGAATGGTATACAATGGTTACTTTAACTTTGATTCTAACTTTCACTGGTTACTAGTGAACTTGAGGATCTGTTCATGTGTTTACTGGCCATGCAGTTTTCCTCCACTGCCCATTTTCCTATTTTGTAGGCTTTATTTTTTCCTTTTTATTTGTATTAACCCATATATAGTCTTCATACTAATCCTTTATCTTTTGTATACGATGTGTAAATATCTGCTTCGAGTCTAACACACATCTTTTAGCTTTGTTTAAAATGTTTTAGGGGCCTACAGATGTTTTTACCTTTGTATAGTCAAAATACTGCTTTTTCCTTCAAAGTCTGTGCTTTCTGAATCTAGTTTGAGAGATC